TATTCAGTATAGTTTATGCCCGTGTAGTGTATGTATTTACGTCTGTGAAGATTTTATACTCTTCGAGGGTCGATTCAGTGCCGTGCGAAAAAAAATTGAACTCTATATTGTACATGCCTTCCCACTTTCGATATCGTCGTATACGCTCCTGACTATTGTATGCTTACTTCATGCCTTCTTGTAGGTTTATGCTTGCGTCATTTTAACTTGTGAAGTGTCCCAATATCTAAATGATCAGCGTACGAGTAGCCTTTATGGGTTGCTTTGACTTTTGTAAGATCAGCAACTTACTCTGCAGAATACTGCAACGATAATTGATTATGTCGATAGTTTCAAAAAATCGTCTTCTGGGCTACAAATCCGTCTGTATTGAAATCTTCGCAAATTTCTTTTCGTTTTAAGTTCAATTTTGAATCTGTCCCTTTTCACAGTTTGGTGAAAAGCAAAAATGGATGATGTACAACCTGTCCGGTAATCTGGATGTGCTCCCGCGCATCACAGATCTGTCTCAGATTGGAGATGGTGGTGAAATCGTTGTGGTGCGAATGCCCAGTAAGTATTATGTTCCTTTCCTGAAATTCTGAATATCTCCAAGTCGATACGTATATATATATTTATGTATGGCACTAATCTTTAGTGCCAAATCCTGTAGCATAGCGGTACCTTCAAATATTAAGTACATAGAACTCGCCCGTAGGTTGGCTAGTTCAGTAATTTTCTAGACCAGATAAATGGTCGTCTCCATAGGAAACATGTTATTCCTTGGGCGCCGTTAGCGTTAACAGCCATAAGGCCGCAGTGTATCTTTGCTTAATAAGCTAGGATGCTTCCGCGTTGTGATGCTATCTGTCGCACTTTGTTCTTGTCAATTGCCCACGCAGCGTATCCACCGACTGTGACATGAGCGCTCTTAAACCCCATTAGGACAAATTTTAGCATGCACTTCCTTTGCCTCGCCGCATAGATCTGTGTTATTCTCCGTATCTATAGCCCACTCTCCCAAACCACACCATCACCAAACACCCACATACGTTGATCGCACTCATGCTCGCACTAGCCTCGTATCCATATCAGTTGACCATACCACGTGAATATAGCATATATACACGCATTCACCACACCTTTGAATAGATCGGCCGTGCACAAACTGACACGTTTCCACACATCTTTCAATGGACCTCACTTCTGCCTCAAAACAGCCCGTGTAAGAGAGCTCAATCAGAACGCACATCGTCTGATGGTCAAGAGTTATACAGAGAAGCGCGGATGCAATTTCTGCAACCAGCAATTGTTCGGTATCAATCGACAAGGCTTGCATTGTACAGGTACAGCCATATATATATATATATATATATTTATACATAAATTATGTATTTACGTATTATTTATTTATTTATGTATTTACATATTTATATCCTTTTTCATGGGGATGTATATGTATGTATGTATATATGTATGTTTGTTTATTTGTATGTTTCATGGGAATCATTGCTGAATCTGACTGGTTTGAAATGTTTACCACTGAAGAGACTATGTCTTATACTAGCTTCAAAGGGCACACTTGTGTTTCATTCGCGTTAAAGTCAATCCTGATTTTCTAACTCTTTACATTGCTACCTATTTGTGTTATTATAACAGCCTGCAATTTGGATTATCACAAGAAGTGTGTATATAGCAAGGCGAATAAATGTGAGCATGCCAATGCGGCCGTAATCTTCAAAGTGCCGCATCGATTTGTACAGCACGAGTTCGATGTGGGGGTGAAGTGCACCTACTGCAGGCTACAGGTATGTGGAGGCGCGGCCTTCTAATCATTTGTGTGGTTAAGCAGCATCCCCGTTTATTCTGGTCTGGTATATATCTATGTATATATATATATATATATATATATATATATATATATATATATATATATATATATATATATATATATATATATATATATATATATATA